GCACTTTGGACCTCTGGCCTCCTAACGACTAGAGATGATCAGGCCTCCTCATACCTGACTTTTCAGGAATTTGGTTTCTTAGGCTGCCGTGCGGCGAGCGGCATTCACATCAGTACGCATTTCTATAAGTGTGTGTGTGTGTGTCCACTCCTGTTTCCAAGGACACTACCCTAACTCTTTCTAACCTACCCTATAATTTTCCTGACCACTGTACAGCAGTAGGGGCGTGTGACACTCTTATCCTATCACACGCAACGAAGCTGTGGATAAGAGTGGGAAGGGAAACTTGGCCAGTTTCCTGTACCTGCACCAATTGTTTAACGTATTCTAAAGAGCTAATGCTTTTTGTTGAAACATTCAATTGAGCAGACTTTGCACTTCATTTCGTTTCATCAAGTCAAGGGCTAAGTATTCACTTAAAGGGCTAATGCACACCGCGAAGCAGCCTGAAATCGCGCTCCACGGAGCAACCTTCTCAAGTGTCCACCTCTGCTTCTAAGAGTTTTTACCAGCATGCGGGCAGTGGTCCTTTCAGCAGTCACTGCCTAACAAAAACGCTGCTGATCGGATGTGATATTCGGAGAGGACGCTCTCTGAACGTACCTGCGGCTTCGAGTGATTTAAACAATATTGTTGGTGACCTTTCACCATTCCGTTGTGCGCAGGGCCATTTCCACAGGTGACTTGCCAGGTCGTCTAATGCAGTATTGTCAAGCGCTAATGTGTTCGTGAGCCAGTCCCTGAACTTAAAGCTCATTCATTTGAGCTATGAGTCCAAGTGTGTGTGTGTGTGTGTGTGCTCTCGCTTTTGTGCTCTGATGCGTGTGGGTGCTGACGAATCACAAGAAGAAAGGAAACAAGAAAAGGGTAGCAGGGCGACGAAAGGTCCAGGTAAGCAAAAACAATAGAAAGTCAAAGGCTATATAGAATCAGTTTTGAAGGGACATGCGGGTGCATGCAGTGGGTTGACCTTCAATCAATGAGCTTTTGTGGCAGGTGCGTGCATTGGCAAAACAGAACCTCCCCGCCAGAGCGAACCAAAGACATACTATATTTTGGGCAGGGTGTGTATGGTGGGTTGACCCTACGGTTTTTCATGGCACGCACCACGCTTTGGAAGAAGTAGGAGAGTGTTCATTGCGCAACGCTCGTGCTCTATCGCAGAACCTGCCAAACACCCAAAGATCATTCATTGATGCCCATGGCATACACGTGAAGGAGCAAAATGCTGAGAAGCAACAAAGAAGGCCACCGGACCAGCGGAACAGGATGATCAGTGGAGCAGGGAACCAGCCGACCAGGAGACGAGGCGGACCAGGAGACCAGGGAACCAGTGGACTAGGTGATCTCTTCTAATCCTGTTAACCTGAGAAGTTGTCCTTTGGCATGCTCGTATACACAAGCTGTCTGCAAGCATACTGCGGCAAAGACTTCCACAGAATCTACATACATTTCTCCAGGGTTTCTTTCAGGCTCGGAAACTCAGCGCCTGGGTGGTCCACGACGCTCTGGTGCTGGTGTTTGCTGAGGTGTCAAGGCGCCTGAAACGAACGTGAAGGCAAGAGAAGAGGTGTCTCAAAGCGTCTCAAGTGCTTGCAAGAGCAGGGAGAGAACAGGATAAGTTCCAAACTGGCCAAGGATAAGACAGCCGGGCCTTTGCTGACTGAGATGCACAAGAGTCAAAACACAATGGATCTGCTCGAGTTCTCTTTGGTCTCAGATGCGTGCTCTTGTGGCCACGAGGTGGCGTCCGGGGACCTCAGGTAGCTGGTTGAAGAGTCGATGACATGCCCATAACATTTATGCAAAATGGAAAACAATCTACCCAGTATTTGTCATTCTTTTCTACGTCAAACAAGTTCTTTTGTGCAAACGGCCCTTTGAAAACCGGCCTTCACCAGCATCACAGGCGCTTGGAATTCCTGGATATCCAGCACCTGTCAAGAGTGCTGTCTTGCCATGATAAGCCTGTCACGGTGGCTGTGCCAGGGGGCTGCTAGGCACTCTTCAGACTCGTCAAAGCGATTCAAAGCAGCTCGGAGGTCTTTGTTAGCAGATTCAGCATGGATCCGCTTTTGGGAATCCCTGTTAAGACTCAGCAGTGAGATCATACCAACGGGAATCTGCATGCAAATTAACTTACGCATTTACAACATTCCAGTGTGCCACGAGATTTCATGGCGTGCCCTGTCTTTAAGTAGGCGGCTGCGCTAGTGCACTGATCATAATGTATCCCAAGGAGGAAAAGGCCACAGTCAAAAAGGTATAGAAGGCACACAAGTTCTTCTTGCCGATGCACTTGCCCATCCAAGGACAATGGTGGTCATAGCCCTCCACACAAACCTGACAGAAATGACAGTGTTGGCACCCGCGTGGTTGTACAATTTGGCAGATTCCACACGTCCTGGCTCTGACGGATGGTAGCTGATCTTCGCCTTCTGGGCTTTTTTGCAAAATTCCCGGGTCTGCAAGAGCGCAGCGAAGGAATGTGTAAAGTGATAGCAGTGTAACTGCAAGACCTCCGGAAAGTTGAAGAGCCCCAGCACCAGCGACTGTGGAGCAATGGAAAAAGCCAACACCCAAAATGAACATCAACATCAGAATTGAACAGTACCAATGAGGACCGATGTAAAGAATTTGATTGGCCAAATGCAAAACCAATATCCTGCCAAGCCAGTAATGGTTTCGGTCAGCTTCCGCATGGTTTGTCTGCGAGGGCATGTCAGTGGCTACATTGAAGGGGCTGTATGGTCTGTCCTCTGCCTCTGCCGCTGTTTCTGCCGCATCATCGACTGGCATGAACCCTAACCTTGACTAATCGGAGGCCACGGCGTGCTATTCCTGCCTCATACTGATACTTCAAGTTTGAGCCACAACAAAGGCTTTGGGTCCACAGCCCACAGCTGCATGGGCAAAGGAACTGCTCAGCTAAATGTTATCCCCTGCTTGGATAGTTCGCAGGACACTGCAGGTTCTTCACTTATTTAGCCACACAATGTGCAGCCCCTGCCCGACGCATGCATTTACAAAAGATGGTGGAACATCACCCCCCTTCTCTGACTCTGGGTGTTCCTGTGAGGTCCCCACTCTCCAAAGCAGCAGCGGCAGCACTGGCAGCCTGTCACACACGTTTACTATTGAAACTGAGCAGGGCAACTTTTGAGGTCCATCCTGGGCAGCTGCACATGCTGCGATATCCATATCGGGGCCTGCCGAGGCTTACCCATGCGCACACTACCCACTTTTTGGCCAACACAAATTTTGCCATCCACCAACCTATAGCGCTTACAGATGTGGCAGAGGACAGAAGCCTTGCCAAAAAAGAATCGAGCTGGCCCAGCAGCTTCAAAAGGTCAACTCAGAAGCCGACAAGGGCGGCAGTGCATGTCCTTCAGCACCTCAGCAAACGACTGATGTGACTCTTGCCGCCTCAACCTATGCTGTTGCTTCAGTTCTGCACTACTTCATATCGCTGAGTGCACTTGCCATCTTTTCCGCGGACAAACCAAAGCTGGTCCAAGGCCAACGGTTTGGCAATCAATTTGAGAGAGCACTCTTGAGCTTACGGCAGAGACTTCCCAAACTCAGATTAGCTTGCAGCCAGTTGCATCAGCGCAGGCTCCAGAACTATGATGCCCAGGAGGCAGCCGAGGAATAAGCATCCATCATAATTCATTGACACCTCCATTTCTTGCTGCTTTGACATGCTGTGTTGGGATCATGTTCATGTGCATTTATGGTCCATGCATGCGTACTACACATGATGCAATCTGTGGCCTGGATCTTCAGCGTGTTCCCCTTTCTTACTGTTGAGGCCACCGTTTGCGATTTCGTCTCATCCAGCAATGGATGCACTCGCATGCTGAAGCTGGAGACGTTCTTAGTTGTCAGGAACAGTGGAATATGATGTCAGTAAACTCTGTAAACTCGCAGCCCATAGCTACTGTAAGTTTGGCCGTGTAAACTACCCAAACAAGACTTTCATCAAGGCTCATCAGCGAAGATGGAAGCGCAAGACCTTTGCATGTGGTAGAGTATCACGCCAGTACCTGCTGGGCCTGCTGAAATTTTACCGCTGTATGCACCCCGCCCATCAGTGATGGTAAGCATCACAGGGTCTGCAGTGCCAGAGCTTGCGCGCAACATGACCTTAGCTTGTCCACTGGAAGGAGATGTCAATAATCCATACTGACTATTGTGGTGGTTCATAAAAGCCAAGGCAGCTCAGGCACTTCAGGATCCTTGCTGTTCACCGGAGTAATTGAGAGCATTCGACCTTCTGAAAGGCTTGCCTGGTTTGGCTCGTGGGAGAAGCAAGCTGGCCAAACCCAAAATTCAAGTCCTAAAGTCCCGGCCCGTCCCGGCCTCTAGCAGCTTTGTTCCACTGGCACTATTGATGGCAAAGGATGATTTGCTCGGATCCATGACTTCGTTCATGTCCACAGAAAAATGGGACTCACTGCTTGGCACGACATACCGTTGGCACAGAATTGGAATTGGCGCAACTTGCGATTGGGAGAAGTCAGGCTCTCTTCTTTGCCTGCCAACTGGGCTTGAGTCGCTGCTGGGCTTTTGCGAAGAGCTGGATGATGAAGAGAATAATCTGTAGCACCAAATCAATGCTATGATAACTAAACCGATCACGAGGCACTTGGCAAGTATGGAGCCAAAACTGGCGGCCATGTGGGACGAAGCAATCTGCAGCATTTCGCCAGCGACTAAAGTGGAGCTGTTATGACGAGCCATCTGTGACCTTGAAGCTGTGGGCAAGCAACTGCCAAATACATTTAAAAAAAAAACGCTGCAAAAGTACGGGAATGAAAAGGAATTCATATATACGTAGGAAGGCAGGCAGGCAGGCAGGTAGGTAGGTATAGGTAGGTAGGTATAGGTAGGTAGGTATAGGTAGGTGTAGGTAGGTCGGTATAAGTAAGTAGGTATAGGTAGGTAGGT